CAAATTTTTTGGAAGAATTTGAATTGTTCAAATTACTTAAGGGATTATATGTATATTGATAGATTATAATATATAGTTAATTGTAAATTAAAACTATATATTATGAGAGATATTATTTGAATGAGATTCAAATAAAATTAATATGAATGAGATTCATATTAAAACTATATGTTAAAAATAATGTGCATAAGATGTACATTAAAACTATAGGTTATACGAGAGAAATGTTTTAGAATATGATTCTAATTTTATAATAAATAATTAAGTATTAATTATTTATGTATATATATATATTTATTAATTATTAATTGGATTAATAATTATTTATATTAATTAATTTGATTAATTAATTATATATATATATATTATTATATATATATTATAATTATTATTATATATTATATAAATATATATATATATATATATTATTAATATTATTAATATTAATAATATTAAACTCCCCTGCAAAATTGTAGGGGAGTGGGAGGTTAGTGTACCCCACGTCACTGCTTCTGTTTTGTTTTTGCAGTTCTGCAAAACACAGAACAGGAGAAGAAGGAAAAAAAAAACCCATTTTCTCTCAATCAAGAAGAACTCTCTCAAGCTCCCCCTCTCGTTCCAAAGGATTGCTCCCACCAGCACGATCCCGAGACCCAAGAGGATAACGAGGAAGACACAGTGGTGGTGTTCGAGGGGAAGTTACCGAAGAAACGTTCTTCAAAGGTTTGTATTTCCTTTGTATTTTCTCTCTGTAAAATTCGATTTTGTATCCCGAAAATCAGCAACGAAAGTCCGCTTCCGCTCCGGGATTCACATCCCTTCAATTGGTATCAGAGCCAGGTTGTAGTTCTGATCTTTTTGGGATCAAAATCGTTAAGTTTGGTGGGTGATTTCATATTTTCGAAATATAGGTTTGCGGGTTGGAAAATTTCCGGTTTTTTGCACCTAGATTGTGTTTTACTTCGTGATTTGATCATGTAAGGGCCCGGTGTTTTGGGCATTTAGTTTCTGTATTGTTTTTGTAAGTCCAGGTCGCTCGAAAGTCGTTCGTGGCGTCGGATTGGGCAAAAATTGCAGAAAACAGCGAAGAAGACGAAGCAGACTGCGCAAACACTGCCATGGCGCTATGCAGCAGCGCCATGGCGTTGCGGGATAGCACAGAGCGCCATGGCGCTGCACATCGCTGCGGCGCTACAGTGCAGCGCCGTGCCAAGGCGCCGCGGCGCTGCCCTTTGGAGCCGAGGCGCTGTCCCGGGTGTTTTTCGACGCGGTTCCGAGGCTCCGGTTCGCGGTTCAAGGGCGGATGCAGTCAGTTTTCTTATTTTGTATTATTTCGTTTTCTTAGGGTGCCAAAAACCGTTCCAACTTTGCTATTTAATTATTTTATGCATTATGAATGTGTATTTTAATTAAAATCATATTGCAATTGTATGCCATATAGTTTTAAAATCCCACCATAGGTTACATGCATAATATGTATGCTTGAGATATAGTATGTGTAACGCCCTAGGAATTTCACCATTTCCAAACAGGGACCGTTACTAAGCCTACCTAAAATTTTCGTATAAACAAGAGAATTTTCCTCACAACAACACTAAGCAATAAAACTACCACGCTTCTGCTGCGCTACTCTGATTTCCTCCAGTCACGAGAGCTTGAACAATTAGAACAACAACACTAATGTTTTAAGAGAAACTTAATCCTATACAGATAAACCATTTAATACCGACTTCACATTAACCAAACCCTTCAAGGATACCTTACTAACTATAAACCATCCACTAAAAGAATATTAACATCTCGAATGGCAATGAAGCAAAAGCTAATGCAAGTACGATCAACTTAAACAAATGTATCCATAAATATCCTAAATAGATTACAATCTCGTAGTTCAAGAGACTAACAAAATTAATGCTCTAAAAGAATAATGAATCGGCAACCTTACAACATCCTTTAGACAATAAAACTAAACAAAACCAGCCACTACCAACTCAACTACAACATTAAATGGCCACAACTATCCTAACTAAAAGAAATTAATTGTACACAGCATAGCTAATGGTCTTTCCGATCAAGCCTCCTTCTCGCCATCACCATCCCAGGAGCTAGCTCGATACCTGCGAACTGGAGGGGAAAAAGAGGGATGAGTACAACCACAGTACTCAGTAAGCAGCCCTTATTTGAAGGGTCACGCACAAACAGCATACTTATCAAGGAACAACGTGTCATGCTTATTAGAGAATCAACACACACACATCATGCTCAACCAAATCATGAAACATTCACAGTCATGCCTTTCATCACATTATGCATTCAAACATAGGCACATTCTATAAACTTYGGTGACAACCACAACCAGTAACACATTAACTACTAACCTCTAGTCTCTCTAACATCTCAAGTACTTCTACGCTTATCACAGCTACTCTAGCCTTCCACAGTTAACTCCTTCGAGCAGAGTCGGCCCTTGACCATTTATACCCAGAGCCCCGACCCTACAGCATCGGCCCTCGACCATTTATACCCGAGGCCTTGAACTCTGCATCGACCCTCGACCATTTATACCCGAGACCTCGATGTCTTACAATCTATTGGCCCTTGACCATTTATACCCAAGGCCCCAATAGTTCTCCTTTCGAAAGACTCCTC